TACCTTGACTTCAAAGTTGAAGTCAAAATGTATGTTACTTTTCCACAGGAAATGAAAGGCTGTGGATTCATTCCAGGTTAAGAAAACTCAGGTTTGATCAAGGAAGACCCCTGGGAAATCTCCAATAGGAGCAGATGGCCCAGACGTCTGAGTTCTACATCCAGAACAGATTCAAGACTGCTGGCTGAGATGATCAAGCCTCAATGGATACTCCAGTTATGACTTGATCATAATTCTAAATTTTCTTTAGGTCTCCATAAGATTATCAGTGCCCCAATCATCAGAAGGAGCTATAAAAACTATGCCCACATTCCCAAAAATAACTATGGATATTTTCTGTTATTTAGAATGTTGCTTACAAATTGTTATAGATAATGGTCAAGAGAAAAGCTAAACAAGGAATATTAGATTCAGAGTTCTTGTCTGAAAAAAAAATGGGGGGGAAGTGCTGTGGAACAATGATCTTTTATCCCGTCTCTTGTATTATTTTTAATAAAATGCTGATTGGTCAGTAGTAAGGCAGCAAGTATGAGTGGGGTGACCAGGCAGGAGAATTCTGGGAGGAGGAAAGAGTCGATCAGCAGTAGTGACCCAGGCGCAAAGGAAGCAAGATAGCAAGATGTGACTGCTTTGCCAAAAAGGTACCAAGCCACAAGGCTAACACAGACAAGAATTATGAACTAATATACATTATAAGAGTTACTAAGTAGCCTGAGATACTAGGCCAATCAGTTTAATTAATGTAGACTGTTGTGTGATTTCTTTGGGACCAAACAACTGTGGGACTTGGCGGGACAGAAAATCTCAATCAACATGTAAAGCAAATATTTTGGCAAACTTCTATAAATGAACAAAGACCAAAGTTAAAAATACAAATAAAAGACATTGTCATTGAAGGACTCCTAAACACAGGTGTAGATGTAACAATAATTGCAAACAAGATCATGGCATCTGAATTGGCCTGATCAGGAGATAAACGTTCAGCTTTTATGGATTGAAACATTATATCAGGTAAAACAGAGCATCAGATAGGTTGAATGTACAGGGCCAGAGGTCAGAGAAGAAAATTAAAGCCATATGTGGCTAACATAGCAATGAATTCGTGGGGATGCTATTTGTTACATACAGCAATGAACTACTCAGATTAACATTTCCCCAATCTTATACATAAACCACAAACAAACACATTTCTAGAAAAAATATTAGAAGGTATTATAAAGAACAATCACTGACCATCTAGGTTGCTTCTTACCTTTGATAGGCACCAACAGTCCTACCTTTAAAATGGTTGACAGATAAACTTGTATGGGTTAAGAAATGACCTTTTACAAGAGAGAAACTGCTAGTTTTAGAACAGCTGATACAGGAGCAGCTAGATGCTTCAGAATATTTAAGAATCAACCAGTCCTTGGAATTCTCTTATATTTATTAAAAAGGAACCTGGAAAATGGGGAATGGTAACAGGTTGAAGGTGATTTGGAAAATAGGCTCTCTGTTTGGAATTCCTTTGCCTTCTTTATCATCCAAAGATTAGCTTCTTACAGGTACTGCTTTTTAAAAATGCTTCACTATACTGTTTAAGTAATAGCTTTTTTAAAAAAATATTTATTTATTTATTTATTTATTTGTTATGTATACAATATTCTGTCTGTGTGTATGCCTGCAGGCCAGAAGAGGGCACCAGACCCCATTACAGATGGTTGTGAGCCACCATGTGGTTGCTGGGAATTGAACTCAGGACCTTTGGAAGAGCAGGCAGTGCTCTTAACCTGAGCTATCTCTATAGCCCTTCACTATACTTTTTACAAGAAAAAGATAGAAAAATTTACCTTCACAGTGACTACTTACAATAATTCCCAAACTGTTAAGAGATGACAGTGGAAGGTTCTCCCACAGGAACTGTGAAGTAGCCTCACCCTGTGCCAATATTTTGTACATCTGACATTGGAAATGAAATGTAGCTGATTTTAGAAAGAACATCCACTTGAAGAAACAAACAAACAAACAAAAAAACTTTGACTTGTTCAGGATTACAAATTGCTCCTAAAAAGTCCAAAGAAGAGAGTCTAATAGTTATTTAGGACTATAGAAAATTAGATCCCAAAAGATGCAAATTATCAGAGACTGATTGCTGACTCTCAATTACTTTCAAAGATTGCTAGGAGACATTTCCTATCTATTGGAAAATGTCTACTCCAGCCATTGGGGTAAAAATGAAGAACTGAGTAATTTGCTCAAATCCTTGGAAAGTGACAAGGATTTAAATCATTCAAAAGATTTATCAGCTGAAGCTGAGAGATAATTGAATTTGGTTGAAATTACAGGATGCATCATTTGGATCCATAGGATTCAAAGCTTGATTGTATTTTTGTTATTTCACCCAAGCATTCTCCTACAGGACTATTAATGCAGAGGGAAAATAATATCTTAGAATGGATCTCTTTACCACATAGACAAAGTAAAATACTAAAAACATATGTGGAAAAAGTGTCAGGAGAACATTCTAAAAGGAAAGTTGAGACTTTTTCGAGGAACAGGAATAGACCCAGCAGACATTGTACTACCTTTTACTAATAATGAAATTATGGGAAGAAAATAAATCTTGGCAAAGAACCTGCACTAATTTTTTGGGAGAGATTAACAATAAATACAACAAAACAAGAGAATTCAATTTATAAACAGAACTAACAAGATACTTCATCACACCGTATTGGCAACACCAACATGTGGTGCCCCCACATTCTATACTGATGCAAATAAATGAGGCAAAGCAGGTTACGAATCAGTAAATTTAAGTAACGTGTCTTATGATTCTGTCCAAAAGTCAGAATTATATGCTGTTCTCATGGTATTAATGGATTTCATGGAATCTCTCAACAGAGTTATTGTTTTGCAATATTCAGAGTGTTTTGCATATAGAAACTGAATTCATAGTAATGGTGCATAATTAAATTTATTATGTATTCAGTTATTTATTATTATTCAGTTATCATTTATTCAGTACACACACACACACACACACACACACAAAAACCCCTCACATTTGATCCCATACAAGTTTGTCAGATCCTCTAGCAGAAGGTAAGGTCAAAACTGATAAGGTATTGATAGGAAGTATGCCCAAGACTTCAGTTTCTTTAAAAATATAGCAGGGTGGTGATGGGGCACGCCTTTAATCCAGGCACTTGGGGAGCAGAGGCAGGCAGATCTCTGTGAGTTCAAGGCCAGACTGGTCTACAAGAGGTAATTCTAGAACAGGCTCCAAAAGCTATAGAGAAACCCTGTCTCAAAAAACCAAAAAAAAAAAAAACCCAAACAAACAAACAAACCCAAAACATTTGAAAGAAAGATTTTCCAATCACTTTGGCACAAGCCAAGGTAATTATTAATTAGGAAATGTCCTCCTTGTTCTTTGTACAACCAAATTCCACTACTGGCAGGAAGTATCTCAGATGGTACTCAAAGCATGAATGGTACTCTTGCAAATGGATGCCTTTCATATGGTAGAATTTGGAAAAACATATACACCACACCATTGATACCTATTCAGAATTTCAATGTGCAACTGCCTTGAGTTCTGAAAAAGCTGATTCTGAAAACACACAATTATTAGAGGTTATGGACATCATGGGAATACCTGTACAAATTCAGACCGACAGGGCTCCAGCATGTGTCTTTAGTACGATGAAACACTTTTGTTTATTAACCTATAAAGCATATTACAGGTATACCACACAATCCTACAGGGTAGACAGCTATATAAAGATCAAATTTAACTCTAAACGACATGCTAAATGAACAAAATGGGGTTGTAAAGATCCTAGAAATAGATTCTTAAATCACAACCACAGAAAAGGAACTAATAAAAATCCATAAAATTTTATAACTGAATCAGTTATTTCATGTAATTGAAGTATAAAATCTAAAAGGGTAACATTGTCATTTAAATTCATAGTACAAGTATTACAGTTCTGAAGGGAAAGATTGTTGGAAATCAAGCTATACATGCAGCAATGAAAGGAAGTTATCCTGGATATCTACAGTTGTGGGAGAAAAGCATTATTGGGAAGTCAAACTATACCTGAAGCTGTAGAGGAAAGGTAGGTACCCTAACTGTCAGAAGTCTGGGTATACATACAGCTGTGAAGAGAAGGTATGCACATACTTAAAGCTGTGAGGGGATAGGAATACTAACTATAGGGAAGTCAGGCTAAGCCTGAACCTGTGTTCTGGTGGGGAATGGTCCTCTGAAGGATGTTGCCATTCTGCTTCACTCCAAGAGAAATTCATTACAGCTGAACTCCCCTCTACGCTCCTAAGAGACCTTCCCAGAAAAGACATCCATTGCTGTTCTACTTTGCTCTCCTAAGGGGGTTTCCCAGCAGAGATTCTGCTTTGCTCTGGTGAAAGGTCTTCAACCAAAATGCATTCAAGAGATGTATTTTGAAGGGAGGAATCCAGAAGAGGGGCTGACTTGCAGAGCAAAAAGGGCAATTGTCACCAGAACCAGCACAGGGCTTATAAGGGTCTTATTAGGTGCATAGTTTGTTCAGGGAGAAGATTTTCAGGGTGGGACTTGGTCTGATTTCAATCCCTAACATTTTTCAAGCTCAAAGATTGGTTGGATTTTGTGCTCAGGGACTGGTTAGTTTTCCTGCTCAGAGACTGGTTGGTTTTGTGCTTACTTGGTCAGAAGCAGAGTGTGTTTCTTTGGCTCTGGTTACAGAAACAAAGGGCATATCTTTCACTGGCTCTGGTTTCAGGACCAGGATGTGCTTCTTTGGCTGGCCCATTTATCCAGCACATAGGGCTTTATAAATTAGTAAACTTATTTTTTCCATGAATTTGCAAGGGCAAACTATAGAAACAGACATCATAAAGCTTGAACAAAGGGCTGGAGAGATGGCTCAGTGGTTAAGAGCATTGCCTGCTCTTCCAAAGATCCTGAGTTCAATTCCCAGCAACCACATGGTGGCTCACAACCATCTGTAATGAGATCTGGTGCCCTCATCTGGCCTGCAGGCATACATGAAGACAGAAATTATATACATAATTTTAAAAAAAGCTTGAACAGATTGTTGATATATCAATTTTTGACTACAGAATACTCTTCTATTGAATACATGTGTGTTAAATAAATATCTAACCAATATTTTATAAGCCCCCAGTATTGTTTACACGTACTCAAAGAATCTTTTATTATATAAAGGCTTTAACAGATTGATTGCATATAAAAAGTTTTATAGCTGTACCGTCTAAAATTTTAACAAACAGTATATTTTTAGGGTTTCTCTGCAGTATTACTTTTTCTCACAATTTCAAAGATTTTACCACAGGTTTTTACCACACTGATTATATTCATAAGGTTTCACTCTAGTATGTGGTCTTGTATGCATTTGAAGATGACCTTGTTGTGTAAAGGCTTTGCCACTGATTACATTTATAGCATTTCTCTCCAGTACGTATTCTTTAATGCATTTGAAGAGCATTGTGATAAACAAAACCTTTACCATGCTGATTTATACGTTCTCTCCAGCATGTCTTCTTTCATGCCTTTTAAGATATGTATCACATGAAAAGGCTTTACTATATTGACTACATTTGTGTGGTTTCTCTCTAGAATGTGTTCTTCTATGTGTTCGGAGATGACTATGGTCTGAAAAGGCTTTACCACATTGGTTATATTCATAGGGTTTCTCTCCCGTATGTGTTCTTTCATGTATTTGAAGATAACAGTGATTAGCAAAGACTTTATCACATTGATTACATTTAAATGGTTTCTCTCCAGTATGTTTTCTTTTATGTATATTAAAACTAACATGTTGTGCAAAGGCTTTACCACATTCATTACATTCATAGGATTTCTCTCCAGTATGTGTTCTTTCATGCCTTAGAAGACCAGAGTGTCGCTCAAAGGCTTTCCCACACTGATTACATTTATACAGTTTCTCACAAACATGTGTTCTTTCATGCATTTGAAGATTACTGTCGAATGCAAAGGTTTTAACAGATTGAGGATATATAAAAGGTTTCGTCCCAGTATGACATTTTTCATGCCTGAAAGGATGAATGGCACATTTAAGACCTTCACCACATACAACACACTGTTTAATACTTATATCTCTATAAATAAATTTTACAATTTGGTCCATTATGAAGAGGAATCACATCTTAAAGTTTTATCACTGTGTTTACACTCATGTTGTTCCCCTTCATTACAGGTTATTTTGCATTTTTGAAGATTGCTGTGATGGTAAGATACTTTGTTACATACTTAACATTTGCAGAATCTTTTTTTTATATGAGATTTTACACATATTTGAAGAGAGCTGGAAAAACTCAGACCTTTACCTCTCTTATTGTACTTATAAATTTTTATAAATGAGTCATAATATATTTTTCATTGAACTAGGACAAATAGAAATACTTACACAGTCCTAGTACTCATAGGGCTTTTCTGCAGGATGAATTTCTTAATATATTAACAATGAAGTTGGAAAAACAATTACTTGTACACTTGAAACAAATTCAACAAGTATACTTAATGTGGGAACTGCTGTGTATCTTCTAATTTTTCCGAGAAGAAAATATGTTATGTGTATCTATAATATCCCTATGTTCTTATGGCTTGTAGTTAGAGTGATAAATGATCTACCTAGTAAAGGAAAAAATAACAATAGGTTTCCATATTGAATTAATATAGTTTGACTTTCAGTTTCTCAAAGAGATGTGATATAGAAATTAAGGTTTCTCCACACCAACTGTTCCTTGTCTCTTGACTCTAACTGCCCCTCTCACTAAAATTAGCACAGTCACAACTAACATATGAGTAACATTAGTTTAATCATCAATGCACTTGAAACTGTGCTGATTTACACTGTTGCTTTTGTTTACAACTTCCAGGACATATTACAATTTCTTCAGTGGCACATTTGTATGAGCTTGCACATGATAATTACCTTCCATGTCTTTGAGAACTGTGACAATGTTCCTCAATATTATGATCTTCCCAACTGTACCCTAAAATATAGTACCAGAAAATGTATGATGTATTACTAAAAATTGTACAAAATTTAAATTATTATCTTCAGTAAAAACACGCCTCATTTCTTCACCGCATTCTTCCTTCTCAATCAAATTGCAGAAGAGCATCAAAAACCAAGGAACATGCCGGGTGGTGGTGGCACACACCTTTAATCCCAGCACTTGGGAGGCAGGGGCAGGTGGATCTCTGTGAGTTCGAGGCCAGCCTGGTCTACAAGAGCTAGTTCCAGGACAGGCACCAAAAACTACAGAGAAACCCTGTCTCAAAAATCAAAAATAAAATAAAATAAAATAAATAAATAAATAAATAAATAAAAAAAAACAAGGAACAGCTATCCCCTTATTTTAAAAGGTGAAAAAAAACCCAGCCTTACCTATGGCAATGAGGTTCCTGTAGGTCTCCAGCATCACATTTTTGTAAAGATTCTTCTCAAAAGGATCCAGTAAAGTTCACTCTTCCCAAGTGAAGTCAACATGCACATCATCATAGGTCACTGCATGCTATAGTATCCCATATATGTGTACAACAAAAAGCATGATACTGACAACTTTGTAAATGTATACTTCTTTAATAGTATTGTCATATAATTCTGGTTCTCTCCACACTTATTCCATGTTATATACAGTACAAGGTAATTACCAAATCACTTTGGAAGAAAACTGAATAGAAACTTCACACCTGTCATTTCTGTATCCTGTGAATGGGATATTGCCTTAATAGAGAAATGTCTATTAAAAACTTTGAGGCCATTCAAAAGAATGAAGAACAAAAGAGCTAAGATCAAGAGCAATAAGCAGCATTTTGGCATATCAACATGTGGTTTGAATTTTATGGCTCCTTTACCAGTTTCTGACTTACAGCAAGCCCTTGAGCAACAGGTACATTTTTTAAAAAGTTAAGTAAAAAATACCTCTAGCAGCACAACTACTAGCATTCTAAATCCAGGAAGGTGGAAAGCAGTTTCTGGTCCTATACCTCTGATCAGACAACAAGTTTTGGTCTTGGCTTTTACAATTTGAAAAGTGGATAAAACCAACAACCAAAGCCACAAGTGGAAGACACAGTGTAGGTTAGCAGTTTAAAAATTTGCTTACATGGTCAAAAAAGGCTAAATGACATGCAGTAAGAGGTTCAGATGGGAAAAAAAATCCTGTAAACAGATTCCTGTATGTTTTATAATGCAAGTAGACTTAAGAAAGAAAAAGAAAATGGGTATAGGCAGTCATGAAACAAATTGATTAAAAATAACAAAGTCAGGTCTTTAAAGAGACAGTAAAAGTAATATAAAAGAAAAAAGTCATGTAAAGTTGGGAAATACACAGGGAGTTTGGATCCTATATAGTACTATGTGGATTTCCAATATTTTGAATGGCGATGCGCACACAGCTGCTGACATACATGGGATTGTAAACAGCACTGTTAGGACCATCTTAACTCTAAAATGGAAATCAAAAAATATTTTTGTAAGTGGAAATCAAAAAGTGATTTGGATAAGAGTTTCTGCTTCTTTTCCCACAGGAAAAGAGGCCATGAAGTTCAGTAATGAGATAGATCAGTTTTGATCAGAGAAGACCTCGTGAAACTTGGCAGGTGATATCTATCAACAAAGATTATAGCTGAACTCAGCACTTGATGATTTTTTAAATTTTCTCTCTGAGAGAACCTAAAGATGCCTTCACCTAAAATGAAGCAGTTTGGAAAACATAACACACACATTCCCAATAGGAGTCTGGGAGGCTTTCGTTTATGTGGTAGATTATAGCAGAATATATGGAAGTGACTGCTGCTTAACTTTGATTTTAACAACACAAATTCCATACATTAACCATATCAATCGCTGAAGCAGCAATAAGCCAAGCATAAAGATAACAACTGGAAAACACAGGTATGTCAAGAAGAGGAAACTAAAACTGTCTCTTGCAGAAAGTTCCCAAGCCAGCAAAAACTCAAGGAACTCAAACATAATATAGTAAAATTTCTGAAAAAAAAATTGAAGTTCCATTGTTTCCCAGAGAAACAACAATAAATTTAGATGACAAGTAATAAAATCAATGACATAGATGGCACAACTGACTAAACAAGACAAAAAGACCTATTTACAAATATGTATCATAATCATCAAAACAGGGGCAACAAGAGTCTAATCAATATTAATCACAAGAAATCACTGGCCAACTCTCATCCTGTGCACTCAGGTTCTGGTTTTTTTTTGGCTATAATAGAAAATGCAATGGTTAAGGAGGGCTGTTCCAACAAAAGTGAAGACATTCTCTTGAAGTCATCTAATGTTTTAACTTTGTAGAAAAGTTTTGATTACTAAAAGGATTTAATTCTCTTATAATAAAGATAAAGGTATGTTTTATGATCCCTTGAGCATCCTAAAATTATCTTATAACTGATAATTGCCTGTAAGTCTAAGTCAGAGTCAGGAAATGAAAACTTTTCCAAGACAAATGGAAGATAACAGAATTTTATGGAAACAGTATATGATCTGTATTATTCACCTAAAGCAACATGTTTTGCTGATTGCTTTAGGAATCAGAAGAACTTCTGAAAAAAAGTCTATCCCAACATTTTGTCTATGCTTGTTGTAAGACAGAATGTGTTCCACATGTATACAGGTGTCACACAAGAAAAGAAAGTGTCAGATTCCCTGGATCTGGGGTAGCAGGTGGTTATGAGCCTTCCAACTTGGGTTTTGGGATATGAACTCAGGTCATCCCCAAGAAGAATACATACTGTGCCACCTGCCCAGCTGTGTGGAATGCTTTATCCAATCAAATAAGTCTTTCACAGATTAACAATAACAATAAAACCTAAATAAACAGAGGTAAATAAAGAATCCAAGGGAACATGAAGAATCAATATTAAGATTTTATGTACAGTAACTTAGCAGCATGAACTGAATACAATTCAAAGAAATTTCCAGACAATTTGTAACAGGATACTTTATTCCAAAACTACCTGCAAAATGGAAACACTCAGAATGTTCAATAGGATTATGAAAAAAAATATACATATTGACACAATGTGACTTCTATACTTATCACAAAGCTACAATATTCAAGAATATGCTCAATATTTGTGAAAGAATAAAGAAAGAGCTAAAAAACAAAAGCAGAAAAGTATAGTTGACTTTTAATCAAAAGACCAAAGGAAATTCAGTCAGGAAAAGTGTGGTCTTGACCAATGTTACTAAATTTACTCTAATTCATTTTATATATTTATTTAATTTTAGTTTTTCAAGATAGGGTTTTTCTGTGTATCCCTGACTATCCTAGAACAAGATCTTACAGAGATATACACCTGTCTCTGCCTCCCAAATGCACCACCATTACGCGGCCAACCTTCCTATAATTCTATGTACACAGAAATGAACAAACTTCACAGTTCCCATAAAATTAACTCAAAGTGATCCTTAAACTGTTATGTTTCTGACTGTCCACCTACTGATATTTCTTCCAAACAGAGAGACCCCGATCTAGAATATTATTTAAAGATGTGTTACATTTGTTTGCGCACACCCTTAATCCCAGCACTCAGGAGGCAGAAAGAAGCTGATATTTTTAAGTTCGAGGCCAGCCTGGTCTACAGAGTGAATTCCAGGACAAGCTCCAAAACTACAAAGAAACCCTGTATCAAGAAAAAGAGAGAGAGAGAGAGAGAGAGAGAGAGAGAGAGAGAGAGAATATGATACCTTGATACAATGAAGTATTGCTCAGTTATTAAAACAAGGACATATTAAAACTTGGATGGAACTAGAAAAAAATCATCCTAAGTGAAGTAACCAAGACCAAGAAGACAAACATGGTATGAACTCACTTCCAAGTGGGTATTAGCTGTAAAGTAAAGGATATTCTTGCTACAATCTACAGATACAGAGAAGCTAATTAACAAAGAGGACTCAAGGGTGAACACAGCACATGGATCTCCCTGGAAATAAGAAATAGAATAGATTTTCTGGATAGACTGGGAGTAGGTACAGATGGCAGCAGGAGAGAGCAGGTGAGGGGAAGGATGGAGGGAGAGCATGGGGAGAGACTACTGGAACTGGGGGACATTTGGGAGTCAACATGAAAACAGTGCAGTCTCTGCTGGGATGAGAAACCTGAAGAGCTTTGGAAAACCAGGCATAGCTTTCAGTGTTGGGACTGGAGCGCCAACCCAGCCACAAAACCTTTGACCTACAATTAGTCCCACTTGCAAGACGTTGGATTACTGGTGGCTCAGAACTTGGCGGGAGTAAACAACCAATGTCTGCTGTACCTTTAGGCCCATTCCATGTGAGAGAGCCCATGCCAAACACTGCTTGGATGTCTAAGAACTTGAAGTCCAATAGCCCAGAGATTTGGGTTAGAACTAAACAAGACAAGAAAACAAAACAGTCAGCGAAATGATTCCTAATGATATTCTGCTATACTCATAGAACAGTACCTAGCCCAAATGTATTCAGATAAACTTAATCCAGAAACTGATGGGAGCAGATGCAGAGATCAAGAGTTAAACATTAGGAGTTCAGGAAAGCCTGCAGATAAGGGGGAGGAAGTATTGTAGCAACCAGAGGGATTGAGGACACCAGGAGAACAGAGTCCACAGAACTGAATAATCAGGTGTCATAGGTGCTCACACAAATTGAAGCAGCAATCATGGATCCTGTAAGGGTCTGCGCTAAGTCCTTTGCATATCTGCAATGGTTACATTACATATAATATATAATGATTACGCACCTCAGTGTTTTTGAAGGACTTCTAAAAGGGTGTGTGTGTGTGGACTGACTGACTCATTTACATGATCTTGAGCTGCCTTATCCAGCCTTGCTATCATGGTTTGAGGCTAGTGTTATTGTACCTTGTAACACCATTGCATGGGATGGTTTTATGTGTCTTCTTGATACCAAGCTAGAAACAT